GGCGAATGCCTTAACACCCTGGTGCAACAAATGCAGAAGATATTATCACTTGGCAGAGCAGTGCCCAAGCGCGAGAACCTGACAGCAACGAAGAACGCCATCGCCAGCTCCAAGTCATGCATCCAGTTGGGGGAACAACCACCACAGGAGTAGACAAGGTGGAGGAAGAAGCGGGTCAGGTGGAGGCAACGGGGGAGGAAGAAGCCCCAACCCTATGAGGCCGGAACCTTCTAGGGCATCGAGTGTATCAGGTTCGGAAACGAGCAGCAGATGAAGCAGAGCCAAAAAGGCTCTTACGAAGGCATCCTCAAAGATCAGCAAAAGTCCCAGGGAGCAGAAGGAGCCAGCGGATCGAAGTGGAGAGATAACCTGATTTTCCAAGCAACACCGATGTCGGGAATTTCAGGAGGAGTAATCGGTGGTGTATTGGGGCAGCGTCCCATAGCTCGGTCGGTTTCCATTAACGGTGCTGACCAGACCGGAGGAATCAATCAAGCAGGGAGAGGAGAGGGAAAACGCCAGTAAGATCTTGGGGGAAGAGAGGAGCAGAACTGACGCTGACGAAGCTACGACGCAGACTTAGCGAGGATATGAGGGACTTGAGAATCAGAGAGAAGGAGGATGGCGACACATCGGACGTCTCAGAGACATTGGTTCATGGCAGGAAAGGAGCGGATATTATACCTTCACCGAAGTCCACGAAGAGGAATAGAAGACAAATGACAACAAAGAAAGGACATGATCAAGGGTGGACAAAGTATCTCCTACCTCTCTTGTTCACGGCAACTCAGGAGGGGGGTTTTGTCCTCGCATGGTCAACCTCCCCCTCAGAGGTCATCCTACCATCGTTGCAGATCCCCGGCCCGCCCATGCCACTGGAGGTGGTCAATATGACACGCCGATTGTTTGGTAGTGAAATCGTTTTACGCTGTATCCATGACATCTCGACCCCTAAATTTTTTGTTGAAAAAAAGAGAGTCAAGGTCAAATTTTACTCCCCGTTGATGGACGCGCGTTGGCACAGGAAGCGTTGAGTAGCTTAATGAGTAGAGGTCTCTGTCTCATTCGCCTTGATTGGATTGCCAAGATAGACCGAACCGAATTGGCCACGATCAATATCTTGGGCGAAATTGATGCACGGGTCTTAGGGAAACTTGCCACAAAAATCCTTAAAATCAGGGCAATTACAACGAGGTATTTAAGTCATATTTGACACAAAGATGGGATACCAGTCTGTCGGCAGACTGTAATAATCCTGTGCAGCCAAGCACTTCGGTCCCTTCGGTCCATATCCAACCAACAGCGGGGGGGAGAAGGAACCAATGCTTAGCGTTAAAGTGGCTTCATGGAATGTGAGAGGGTTGGGTGATACCAGCGGAAGAAATAAAGGAGGACAAATTAAATCTTGGATTCACGAAAATCGAATTAACTTTATATGCATACAGGAGACTAAGTTAGATGAGGAGGGTATAGAAAGATTGGGAGCATGGTGGGATGGACCTCAGGTGTGGGCCCCGACGATGGGTTCAAGAGGAGTAGCCATACTCATGCATAGAAACTTTGACAGCGAAATCCTTGACTATGACTTTGACAAATGGGGCCGATGGGCGTAGATAAAGCTATTGTCGACAGGTATGGAATGGGGGATAGTGTCTATTTATGCTTCAGCGGAAAGAACTGAACGCAAGATCTTCTTCGAATGATTGATGGATGTACTCCCAGACGTGGACCACCTAGCCATTGGAGGTGATTGGAACGTTTCAATGGATGACATTGATCCGCTCTTTTCATCCCACCACGTTAGTAGGGACATTGACTCCTTGACGGATCTGGTCACAGACTTAGATTTGGTCGATGATTTCCATCTCTCATCCCCGACCAGTCTTGGGTACACATGGTTTTCATCACAGGTAACCACAAGTAGAAGCATATCCCCACGGAAGTTGGACTTTTTCCTTACAAGCAAATCTATATGGGCTAATACAGTGGAGGTGATCACCACACCTCACCCCATCTCGGACCATAATCCCATCACTCTCCAATTCGTATGGGGAGATGGCCCAGAGAGAGGTCAAGGACTGTTCCGCCTTAATGAGGAAACGATCAAGGACCCTGGGTTCAGCAGTGGGTGCACAAACACTTGAGGAGCTGGCACAAACATACGGCCCTATTCCCGTCAGTGGAGGAATGGTGGGATGCAGACATGTATTTCATGAGAGATATGTTAAGTATTTTCTCTAAGATTCAGGCACTAGATCAGAATAAGGAGGAAGCAGCAGCCAAAAGGGCAGTAGAGAATGCGGAGAAGTAGGTAGCTTTGCTACCAATCAGATCCATGGAGGCTTGTTGGTGGGAAGTAGAGAGGGCTCAAAGATTGAAAAAATGGGATGCGATCCAAGAAAAGATGGATAAAGATCCTTAGAGTTAAAGGAGTAGAGTCAGGGGACAAGATGGTGAAGGCTACTTTTCAACGACTGTTACCACATCACAGTCAACAGGAGATGAAATCCTTGTCTCATCCTTTTAATGAGGAAGCTCCAATGGCCAAGTCCTCGACAACCATATGTCAGTATGCTGAATTATACTACCGGGACATTCTAACCTCACAAAGGAACCCAACCGAAATTGTTCGAGGCCAATCTGATCTTTCTAGTCTATGGGAGGTAGTGGAGACACGTCTTCCCCATTTTGGGAAGCTTGATTTGGATAGGCCGGTAACGGAGATGGAGGTCAAACAGGCGCTAAGGTTGATGGCCAAAGGTAAGGCCCAGGGCTCAGACGGGTTATCAGTGGAATATTACGATATGTTTTAGACTGAGTTGAAGGAGACTTCGATAGAGTTCGACAATGGTATTTTAGTAGGCGGGGACCTTACGTCAAGTATGTGTCATCACATTGCTTTACAAGAAAGACCGGAATGATGAAATCAGAAATTGGCGACCCATCTCCAGATTAAACGTATCCTACAAGATCCTGGCAAAGACATTGGCAAGACGACTGGCGCGTTACCTACCAGACCTAGTGGTAAGAGATCAAGCAACATTCGCCCGTGGGAGATCCATTTTCGACAATATGGCAACACCAACTGGAATGTTAGAGATAATTGAGTGTGAACAAAGACCGTTGGTTGTACGGTTGTTGGACCTGAAGAAAGTGTACGACAGAGTCAACTGGGCATTTGTGCTCACAACTCTGCGTCATATGGGTTTTGGTGAGAGCTTTTGTCACTGGATCACAACGCTCTATACATTCTCCACAACCGTTGTTATGGTAAATGGGTTCCTGTCGGACCGATTTCCGCTGACGCGATCTCTCAGGCAACGATGTCCTCTAGCCCCTTTGACCTTCATTTTACAGCTTGAAGTAATTCTCTGCAACATTAGATGTCGTCCAAAGATAGTCAGACTCGCAACCTCTCGGTCGGAATGCAAAGTCAAAGCTTTGGCAGGCGATTTGTTTGTCATATGCGAGAATTTTGTCACAGCTCTGAACTCATTGAAAAAACTGTTGGACGAATTCTGCCTGTTTTCAGAGGCTGCTGTTAACTGGAACAAGTCGGTCTTTTTCCTGCCACAGTCTATGTCCCTAGCGGTGGATTGGGGAATGAATAGGATAGGGGAGGGGGAAGCCGAGCGTTTCTTAGGCGTGATGGTTGCCTTGGAGAACTGCTAAGGCATCCAAGAAGGGCTGATTCAAAATAAGTCAATCGCCAGAATGTACCTACCTGGCTATGGTGGACACCATCTTCATCACCTTGTCAGGCGCTGCATCTGGAAGGCCCCCCTTGGGGTAGTGCCGCACCAAGGAAGCTCGGGGCAGAGGCAGGCATGGTGGCCTAGTGAGAAGCGGCATAGCTGCTTTGCATTGTCCTTTGCACAGGGAGGCAGCGACATAGCTGCTTTGGGTTGTCCCTTGGACAGGAGGGTTGAGCCCTCAGTAGGCCTCGGCCTACATGTGAGAGGAAGGAGAAGGGTGGCCATGGCTATGGTGGACCTCATGTTGTGCCTGCAGTAGAAGTGGGATTCGGACATTGATTCTGGTTCAGCCATTCAACATTATTATTGTTATTTCTTGTTTGAATAAGAGGGGAGGAGGAGATCGGTTGGCGAAGAAGAAGAGCCCTGTCATTGGTCTATGCTGGAGTACATCATCTTCTTCTTCTTTCTTACTTCTTCTTCTTCTTCTTTCCCTCTCTCCCCTCTCAAGTCCATTCATTTCTTTTTGCAATTGGACGGCATTGTTTTTTCTGATGTATGTATACTTCGAAAGTGGCCAGGATTGTAACATACCGGTTGTCTGAGGCTCGGCAATGAAGTCCGAGGCTCGGCAATGATCGGGCTACCGGTAGTCCGAGCCTTGGACTTGATAGCTGGGCGAGGTACTGGTGGTTTAACTCAGAATTGTGGAGATACCTGCTGCTCAGGGGAGTCCTTGAACTTCCAGGTCTGCTCCTACAGTGCTGACGCTCCGTCCTATTGGCTGGTACCACCACGTGCAGTGTCCCAACACAATTAGCAGTTCACACACAGACCCGACCCATGTGCCCGAATAATACGCACACTAACTGTCAAGCCATCAGTAATTATTGACCCTTCCCTTGCCAAGCCTCGAAGCGCACTGCGGGCCAAAAAAAAAAAAAAAAAGATGAGCCGGCGCGGGCCTTCGTTTGGCTGGCTGTGCCAGCCATTTTGCTCCGGCAGGCCCACCCCCAAAACTTGTGGCATGCATGCAGCCGTGTGACAGCCGGAGAAAAATGGCTGGGAAACGTAGTGGTGTTTTATTTATTTTTTTTGTGTGTGTGTTCCCTCTTACCCATTTTGGATAACGGTACTAGATGTTTAACAAACAGATCATGAGTTCGAATCCTCATGGACTCAGACAGATACAATGAGGTTAATAGGGGATACCCCTTTCAAGAAGGGTGGAAAATACTCCAAAAAAGGACAATCATACAAAGAGGTCGCACGCTGACATGTTGGTGTTTTCCACTCGATATGCAGGATCTGCGCTACCGAGATAGAAACTGGGTGAGAAGCACGCGGAAGTGGCCTCCCAAGCTGGTAAAGGCCTTGGGAGCATTCCTGGATGTCAAACCAGTCTGATTAAGAAAAAGGTGAATAGGTGCAAAAGTCAGCCTTAGGCTACTCTTTCCTATTGCCGTTGGCCCCCTCCCCCGCCCGTAACTCATTTTGCCAAGTTTCTTTAACATGTTTTTTTCAAGCGCCTTAGTATACTCTACTTGTTCACCTGTGTCGGTTTGGGATACGGTTCAATCAATGTACAGTTGATTCTAAAAGTTTTTTCTCCCGGAAATTGAGGCCCCGTTTAATCATCTAATTTGTTTTGTTTTGTAGTGCTGGCTTAATTCAAACTTCGTCACTTTGTAGTACCCATCAACACCGCCGTTCGGTGTTTCCTTAGGGACCGATTCACTCTGCCTAGATTGACTGGATGCAGAAACCCTTGAACTATCGGGGATCATGTTTTTCACCTGGTTTTTTGTTACTCATGCCAACATTCTCACTCCCTATAACTCCAGCTGTTTTCACAAACAGCCCTTTTCAACTTAAGGACATTCGGCTACCGACCCTGAAGATCAGTGGCAAACAATAGCACTTTGTGTCCAGCATGTCTTGCTTAGCGATTGATTGATCAAGCAGGTAAACAAACCGAGCTGGGAACTTGGTCACTGATTGGGCAATGGACCTATGAATCATTCCAGTTAACTGCCACACTCACTAACTAAAAGATGTTTGGCAGGTGGGAAGGTATATGGCAGAGGTATGGAATGAGTGGACGGAAGGATGGATGTGAGTCAGGAAAAGGATGCATGTGAACTCGCAGAAGGATTCATGTGAACGGGGAGACGGCTGGACATGAGTGGGAGACAACCATTCACCACTGACAACCAGCAATAAGCCCCGGAGCGCCAACGAACATGCAATCACAATTGTGGTTTCTTTTTTGTTTGTATTTTTCGTTTTTCTTCTTCTTTTTTCCGTTGTCTTGACTGTGGTTTTGCAGGATGGCAAATAATTGTTATTGTTGTTGTTGTTGTTGTCTTTGTTGTCATCCTTGTCGTTGTTGTCGTCCTTGGCGGCGGCGGTGTCGTTGGTGTCAGTCTCATCGGTCGTCATTGTTGTCGGTCAGTCCTCGTTGTTATGGTCGTCATCGTTGTCATTGTTGTTGTTGTCGTCATTATTGTTGTTGTTGTCGTTGTTGTTGTCGCTGTTGTTGTCGCTGTTGTTGTCGTCGTTGTTGATGCCATCGATGTTGTTGTTGTTGTTGTTGTTGTTGTTATTGTCGTTGTCGTTGTCGTTGTTGTTGTTGTTGTTGTTTCTTCTTCTTCTTCTTCTTCTTCTTCTTCTTCCTCTTGAAAACGATAATTGGATGTTAAATTTATTCAATGTGGTTACTCTATGATAAGTAAACGTCCTTTTTTATTTATTTAATATTCCAACCTATTCATGGGGAGCGGCAGATGGGAACCGGGCCCAGCGTCCCTTATGAAAAGATACCAAAGAATTTGAGATCCCAGGGCCATTACCTGGCTTCAGGTGACAACAACTGAGAATAACTTGGCTACAAAGATCACCCCCCCATATTGGGAAGGTTGGTAGAGATATCACTATGAGGTGGGGACCGTGGGGAGAAGAAATCGACTCGGGTAGGAGCCGTAGTAGGAGGTGGCTCAGGTGGGAAGAAGAAACTGACCCCGCCAGAAGCCGAAGGGCAGCAGTCAGGAATCAATGGCCAGTGGGCAAAAGGATGGGTTCAAACGGGCAAAGGGGGGTCAAACTTAATGGCCATTGGAGATCTGAATAGTCATTAGAGATTTGAATGACCATTGGAGATTTGACTGATCTTCGAAGATACGGATGCACATCCCGATATGGGTATTCCAACAGTTGCAGATGGTGAAGTGAAAATAGAGGCATGCAATCCAATTGTTCTACTCCTTTTTTTCCCGTCCCCCTACTTTCTTTCTTTTTTGGGGTTTCCCTGCTAGCTAGCTCCCTTTTCTCTTTTCCGAAATGTTGATCCCACTTTAAAAAAAAAAAAAAAAGGAAAAAAAAAAAAAGCTTGAAGCCTAGGTTGTCGAAGTGTTATACTCGGAGATGATTTGTTGCAATGCGTGGCTAAGGTTAAATCTTGTTGGGAATGAGTTAACCTTGCAGCCAACGTGTTAACCCTGGCACTAGATTTAAGGCAATGATGAAGGACTAGGAATGGCTGTGTGGAAATACCTATAGTTTCCCAGGTGTAAGCATTATGAGTGTGAAAATTCATCCTTTGTGCTCCTGTTGTACTTGTTTACACCTTAAGGTTTTCAAAGTGTTTAATATTCTTTATTGTTTTCAAAATTTAAATTTTCCACAGAGAAAAGAAAGCAGAGGGATTGTGTCACTAAAAAGGTCTGGGTAGGAGAATTCTGGACAATGTCATCTGGTGGAATTGGAATGATAGTAGGACGCAGAAAATATTACGATGGCCCTGCACAAGGAGGACAGACAAAAATCAAGAGTGGTCCAGACTGAAAAAAGCAAAGAGAAAAAAAAAAGGGGTCAAAAGATTCAGAATATATATATTTTTTAAAGAAATGTTACGATCCTGGCCAATATCGAAGTGCAAAATTCATGAGAAAGCACAATGCTGTCCAATTGCAAAAGAAATGAATGAACTTGAGAGGAGGGAGAGAGAAAAAAGAAGACGAAGAAGGAGAAAGAAGAAGATGTAGACCAGCAAAAGACCAATGACAATCCCCCCTTCACTCGCCAGCCAACTCCTCCTCCTTATCGCCTCATCGCTCATTCAATCAATAAATAATAATAATGATGATGAATGGCTGAACCAGAATCAAAATCCGAATCCCTCTTCCACTGGTTGGCATCAACAGAGGTCCACCATAACCATGGTCTTCTTCTTTGGAGAATAATTTTCCTTTTTAAAGAAATGTTACGATCCTGGCCTATATAGAAGTGCAAAATTCATGAGAAAGCACAATGCTGTCCAATTGCAAAAGAAATGAATGAACTTGAGAAGAGGGAGAGATAAAAAAGAGGACGAAGAAGGAGAAAGAAAGAAGAAGATGTACACCAGCAAAAGACCAATGGCAATCCCCCCTTCACTCTCCAGCCAACTCCTCCTTATCGCCTTCTCGCTCGTTCACTCAGTAAATAATAATAATGATGATGATGAATGGCTGAACCAGAATCAAAGTCCAAATCCCTCGTCCACTGCTTGGCATCAACAGAGGTCCACCATAACCATGGTCTTCTTCTTTCTCCTCTTAAACCAGGCCACGGCTATGGCAGACTACTAAGGGCCTAGCCCTGCTGTGCAAATGACAACGCAAAGCAGCTATGTCCGCTGCTACTCAGGCTGCCATAGCCAGATAAGTACCCCGCCACTCTCCTCCATAGTCCCCTTCTTCCTCCTCCTCCGACCGGTAGAGCTCTGCCATAGCCAATGTGGAAGCTCCCGGTCTTCTTCCTCCTCCCAGCGATGTACTGCCCAGCGCTCCTTCCAGCGGTGCTCTGAGTGCTAGCGCCCGCTCAAGCAGCATGACGCCCGAACTTGCATACTCCAAATGGGGAGCGCTTTGCTCCTTGTAGAGATATAGCGGCCTATCGTGTTTTCCCCGCTGCAACCCTCAAAGTCACGGCCACAGGTAAGCACCACCCCCTTTGGGCCTTCCAAACGAACAACCGCCCTGGCGGGCCCCACACACACACAGACCGACAAGCACTCAAGCAGCGCAGGAACCAGCAAGCACGCACACACACACAAACTTCAAAAACTCAGCAGAACACGGGAATCTCAGCAGGACATTCAATCCAGCAGTAAAGCTCGAAAATCCGCAGTGTTCTCAGTCTGTGTTTCGGTGGCGGGTGGTACAAAAAGGGAACTTGATACTGTCTGTTACGCCCTTTATGAGTATGACCCACAATCCTGTCGATCTCATGACCGCCATCGATAGCACGAGGGATCATAGGCTCGCGATAAGGGAAGGAACCAGGAGCACGGTTCGAAAACAGTTTGGACGCGTGAAAAACCGTGTACGTGCGCAGATGAGGAGGCACGTCAATCATATATGAAGAACCAAATTCATCATCTCCCACTACTTTCAACACCTCCCATAGGCCATAGTAGAGCGGAAGGAGTTTGTGCGACACTCCCTCTTCTTCAGAGAACTCAGACATCTTGACTCAGACATAACTCCGCACTTTGAATGGTGCATGCTGACACTTCTTGTTGGTGTGTTTGATCATGGCAGCCCGACGCTTATTCATTGCCGCAGCCACGGTTTTGAGCAAGCGCTAGTAGATGGCGCTGTATCCAGGCCGGCCAGGTGTCAGACCGGGTGCCTGATCAGGGAACAAGAAAGACAGAGTATTGTGTATCTTCCATCCGTAATGCAACGGTTACGGTTACGGTTCGGTGTCATGGTGATGGAAGAGTGGATGAAGTTGTTATACAACACCTTCACAATTGGCAATTTTAGATCCCACGTGTTCTTGTCGGAAATGATAAGGTTGTGAAGAAGTTGAGTAACAGTCTAGTTGATCTCCTCAGCCAAACCATTGGCTTCAGGATGACCACCAGATGCCATTTTGAGCTTCATATCGTAGATTTGGGAAGTGAAATCCTTCTCAAAGAGTCTTCGGGGTCCACATTGCAGAATGTAATGTTTATTAAAATTTTCGATTACAAGCTCAGTTGGGGCGTGAGGTGGCAATTGAATCAGATTCAATAATTTCGAAAAACTGTCAACGATCACAATTAGTTGTGAGTAACCATTCTGATTGTCTTTCCCATATCCATGAAGTCAATGGAAACTGACTCTCCGGGACCATCGGGAATGGGTACGGGATGAAGTAGCCCATAAAGCTTTTGCCTACATGGCTTGATTCGTTAACAGACTTGATACCAGCCACGAACTTGTGTGCATATCCTTTCATACCAGGCCAATCAAGTTGGTGCACTGCACTTTCGTACGTTTTCTCGAAACCAAAGTGTTCACTCCGACTGTGAGCTAAATCCAAGAAGTGAGTGTGGAGAGGCTCATTGTTGGGTACACACAAATGGTCATGCTTCCCGTAGCGTCTAGTGGAAATTTGGTTGACTGCTGGGGTTAGCAATGACCTGTTCAAGGATGGTAGTCAACTCCGGATCCTCGACAATCTGCTCAACTAGTTCCTCGTCTAATTTCTTTCGGGGGTCGTAGGAGTTCAGAAGGCAAATCATATAGTCCGGGTGGCAAGACAATGCATCAGCAACTCGATTGTAACAACACTTTTTGTGCTTCAATTCAAAATAAAAAACTTCAATCTTATGCAACCAACAGGTGAATGTAATGGAAAGGTTAGTTTGCGTCTTAATCCACTTCAAAGTCTCGTGATCTGAGGAGACTTTGAAATGGCGTCCCAAAAAATTGTTTTTCCAATAGTCTAGTGTCTCAATCAAAGCCATAGAGCTCGCACATATAAGTAGAAGTAGCTACCTTTTCATTGGGCATTTGTTGTAGTACTTGAGCGAACGCAAACCATCACCATCATTTTGTTTCAGCACTACGCCAATCCCATATTGGCTCGCATCCGTACTAACTTCGAATGTGAATTTCGGATCTGCAATGCAGAGCACATGATGGCTCACCAAAGCCAAGAAGGCTTGAAAGACAGTCTCACATGCGTCATCCCACGTATAAGATGTATTCTCGCTAGTTAGTTTCGACAATGGGCGCGCAATGATAAAAAATCGAGGAGCAAACTTTCAGTAATATGACGCAAGACCAATCGATTTGTTGAATATCAAGATGTTATTAAAATAGACAACAACAAATCGACCGATCAGCTCACGAAATACCTTATCCATGAGACAATGAAAAGTGGTTAGTCTATTCGTGAGACCGAAGACTGTAACGGTAAATTCGTATAACTC